ACCACACACACACACACCACATACACCACACACACACACACACACACACCATACATCACACACACACCACACACACACACACACACACACACACACTATATACATCACACACACACCACACACACCACACACACACCACATACACCACACATACACACACACACACACACCACACACACACACACACACACACACCACACACACACACACACACACACACACCACTAAACAAATAAAGCAATAAAATACTAAAATCATCAAAGAAATAAGGGTATTTCAAGACAAGTACAAACTGAAGCAGTTGATGACCACCAAGCCACCACTTCCTATGATACTTAAAGGAACAGAGTACACAGAGAAGAAAAACAGTCTCAATTATGAGAGCACTCAAAATAATAAATTTCACGAGAGGAATAAATGAACAAAGGAGAAATAGGATGGAATCCATCGCATCTAACACAGTAGGCCAGCAAACATCTAATGTGAATAGAGGGTAAATGTCTTGATTACTTTTCTATTGCTGTAATAAAACCTCAGCCAAGACAACTTATAAAAGAAAGTATTTAATCTGGGGCTCGTGGTTTCAGAAAGTTAGAATCCATGACATTCTAGCAGGCTGAATGGCTGCAGGCAGGCCGGCATGGCACTGGAGCAGTGGCTGAGAGCTTACTTCTTATTCACAGTTATAAGGCAGAGAGAACCAACTGGAAATGAATGTCATGGGCTTTTGAAACCTCAAAGCCCACCCCAGTAACACAACCCCTCCTAATCCTTTCCAAATTGTCCCACCAACTAGGAACCAAGTATTCAAATGTAGGAATCAATGGGGCCATTCTCATGCAAACCACCACGAAAAAGAAATGAGCAAATAATAATCAAAACAACCAAGAAAATTACAAGAGTGAGTAAACATATATCAATAATAACCTTAAATATAAATGGCATCAATTCACCAATAAAGAGACACAAAATATCTCACTGGAGGTGCACACCTTCAGTCCCAGCACTCAGGAGGCAGAGGCTGGTGGACCTCCATGATTTTGAGGCCAGCCTGGTCTACCCAGGGAAGTCTAGGCCAACAATGGCTAGATAGGGAGACCTTGTCGCAAAAAACAAACAAACAAACAAACTAACTAAAACTAAAATAAAGAATAAAAAGTTGCCTACTTTGCAGAGGCCTGAAAATGAAACAAATGGAAGCTGAGAAGCAATCTGATGTTGCTATTGTTTGTGATGGCCGAGGCAGAGGAGGGGTTGCCTGTCTTCTACTGCTCTCTGTCTTACTCCTTTTAAGGTAAAACCTCTTTTTCCTAACCTGGAGCTCATGTTTTTAGTTTGCTGCCACGTGAGTGCTAGGAATTGAACCTGGGTCCTTCACCAGAGCAACAAGTGCTCTGAACTGCTGAACCATCTCTCCAGCCCCCAACATATGCTTTTTTTTTTCAAAATAATTTATTTATTTTTATTTTATGTGCATTGGTGTTTTGCCTGCATGTGTGTCTATGTGAAAGTGTCAGATGCCCTGGAACTGCAGTTACAGACAGTTGTGAGCTGCCATGTGGGTGCTGGAAATTGAACCTGGGTCCTCTGGAAGAGTAACCAGTGCTCTTAACCTCTGAGCCATCTCTCCAGCTCCTACCTATGCTTTTTATAAAAATGTCAAAAACATATACTGGAAAGGACAACGACTTTAACAAATACTTCTAGAAAAATTGAATTTTTATATGAGTAAGAATGAAACTAAATCCATATCTCTCATCATTCACAAAAATTAATTCAAAATAAAGTCAGCATGGTTGTCCACACCTTAAATTCCTCCACTCAGAAGGCAGAGGTAAGTAGATATCTGTGAGTTCAAAGACAGCCTGGTCTATGTAACAAGCCCCAATTAAGCCAGGATTACAGAGTGAGACCCAGGACACATACATATGCAAAGATTTTCTGAAAAGGACTCCAGAAGTGTGGAAAACACTTCCAAGGATGAACAAATAGTAGCTCATCAACTGAAGTTTCAGCACACCATGGAGACACAGTCTACAGAAGAGAAAAGTCATTGCCAGCCACACACCAGACAAGAGATGAATAGCTAAAATATAAAGAGAACCATAAAAATTAAATATCAAAATCCAGATAGCTAATGAGTAAATTGGGCTAGTGAATGGAATAAACAGTTTGGAAAAATAGAAACAACCAAATGTACACTTGAAAAAAACTAAGTGATCCTTAGCCATTCGGGAAATGCCAATCAGAAGTGCTTTGAGATTCCGTCTCTCCCATCCAGAATCCATATTAACAAGAACACATATGACAGCAAATGCTGATGAGGCAGAGGGAAAGATTAACCTTCTTTTGCTGTTGGTAGGAACCCAAGTGTGTGGAGCCATTATGGAAATCAGCATGGAAGTTCCTCAAGAAACTAAAATTGTACTTAACATATGACCCAGGCATACCACTCCTGGATATACACCTACAGCACTGTAAATCAACATAGGACAGAGATATCTTTCATCCATAATTACTGCTCCACAACTCACAGTTAGCTAAGAAATGGGATCAGGCCCTCCCTCATTGATCACTAATGAGAAAATGCCTTTCAGCGGGATCTCAGGGAGGCATTTCCTCAGCTGAGGCTCCTTCCTCTCTGATGATTCTAGCTTGTGTTGAGTTGACACACAAAACCAACCAGTACAGGGAGACTATCTGGAGGAAAATAGGGTATCAAAGAGAGGGGACAGAGAGAACAGCAGAGGACAGTGAGTGAAGGAAACTGGGCTTAATGTTGCATACATATGAAAATGACATCACGAAATCCATTGCTTTGTATCTTAGCCTAATTCTTAAAGTGCTAATAATCATGCTATCTACTTATTGGAGGATGGGGAGAAAGATTGTACGGGGGGGGGGAAGGGGTAGCAGAAGACAGCTGATAGGAAGGGCAAATGAGAATAATGGGGAGAGATGTTTTAAGTGGGGAGAGGGATGAGAAGGCAGGGCAGAGGAGACGGTAAGGGAGGAGGATAACTAACACCAGGGATGCCTGGAAAAGCCGTATGAAGAGTTGCTGTTTCACAGATGTCATATGCATACATATATATTCATATAAAAGCTTTAATGCAGCTAGCTACTCTACACAGTGTGGATGCGCCTC